TTGATGCCTCGGTGGAACGTGGTTGTTTGCTGTTCTTGTCGCAGCGCAGAAGCAGCGAATATTTGATGATCAGGGGGTCGTACAACCCATCGGGGATCTCTTACTGCTGGCCAACACACAGTTCGCACCGGTGCAGAATAGTCTTCCCCACTCACTATCCTTGTGCTCCGGTCTTTTAGTAGAATGTTCCGCTCGTAAACTGAACCGATGGCATTAGATTTTCATCTCTTGGCCTGTTTTCTCTAATCGTGTGAGGCCTCCCACACGTTTCATCTAGCTACAAGTGTTGTTTACCATTCTGTGATGCGGCATGACAGCTGCTGACGTCACTTTCAAGACGAGTAAAAAATTTTTTCTCCGATTTTTGTGTGGAAAAAATGCGGCGGATTATGCGGGCCCTTTGTGATAAAATATGCGGCCTTTTAAAAATCTGCGCCATTTTGCTGATTATGCGGTAAATTCTGCGATCGCAGAATCGCGTTTTTCTGGAGGGTCTAATGTATATGTTGGCAAAGAAAAGCATGCAACAATGCAATTTCATAAAAAATCTATTAGGTTCTTTCTCAAGACCGTTTGTTTAAGGAGTGACTTTTATTGGCAACAAATAAGTACAGATGCGGACAGCTTTCCACCTCCTTCAGACATAAAACATCCAGTACAATGATTTAAGTCTGTGAAATGTTTAGTGTGTCTCACAATACATTTATCAACCCCATTATGAAGTTAAATCTAAAGTACCAATCGCAAACAAATGTTTAAAAGGAAGCTGGCAGCAGGTTAGCTCATTAGCTCAACATAAACACTATAAACGGATAGCCTGGGGTTTCCTAAGGTAACACATCGAGCTATCAGCATCTCTTAAATTCACAAATGTTTTATTTACACAAAAACTGGAGTGTAAAAACATATACGCTTTGGATGTGCTAGTATTTTTTGATTTATTAGCCTCAGACAGCCATGCTAGCTGATACAGGCTAGCAAAACTAACCATCATTTAATATGAAACGGACAGATAATGCAGAAAGAAAGTGTAATTGACAAAATGTTGCCTATAAAACTCCTTCATGTGACAGATGCTATATTTAAGGGTCAGCAGGTGTTTTTAACTTAGCCAGCTAAAATCATGATTCAAATTCATCTCAGAGCCATTTTGTGATTAACTAAGAATACTATGCTGGTAAAATTGGTGAACCATTGGGATTAAGCTTGATATGCTGTTAACAAGTTAGTCAGAGGTAGAATGGCTGAGTTTTAGGCAGCTAAGGAATAGCTTCACTTCAAATGTCAAAAGTGCAAAGTCGAAGTACCATTTGTCAGTTACCACAGAAAACCTAAATAATCCTAGGAAATTTTGGAAAGCCATAAAATCAATATCCACCGGTGAGATCCGTAATGAGCTACCTCCGTGCCTTACCACAGCATCTGGCTCTATATCGGACAGGGCTACCATGTTAAATTGCTTTAATGAGCATTTTGTGTCCTGCGGTTGTCTATGTTTGATTCTGTTTCTAACTCTGCTTCTGTGAACACCCCAATCCGTGACTCTGAACAATGTGGTCTGGAAAACCCTTTCAGTTTTACTCCTTTTACTGTTAATGTTGTGCATGAAGCCTTAACCAAGCTAGATCCTAAGAAACCGGATTTTATTGCTCTTCCTCTTACTTCTCTTTTTAACCTCTCCCTCAGCACAAATGCAATTCCAAAAGTATGGAAGTCAGCTTATGTCTTGCCTTTGCTAAAAGGAGGGGAGGCAACTATTTTAAATAACTATAGGCCAATCTCTAAATTGATCAGTTCTGGCGAAGGTGCTCGAACGCCTAGTGAGTGAACAAGTAAAGGAGTTTTTATGTAAAAATGATATCCTGTCTAAACATCAGTCAGGCTTCAGAAAGCAACATAGCACCATCACTGCGACAATGAAAGTGGTGAATGACATTACGAGTATTTTAGATAATAAGCAGAGTTGTGCAGCTCTATTTATTGACCTTTCCAAAGCGTTTGACACCGTCGATCATCGCATCTTAAAGCAGAGGCTACTCAGTATTGGCATATCCAGCCATGCAGTGGGGTGGTTTGTGAACTACCTCTCTGAAAGGTCCCAATGTGTTCACTTTGATGGGCTGTCTTCTGAGTGGTTGAACATTGCTAATGGTGTTCCTCAAGGTTCTGTTTTAGGTCCACTTTTATTCTCAATATATCAACAGTTTAGGTGAAAATGTGGATGAAGCTACTTTACATTTTTATGCGGACGATACCGTGATGTACTGTGCAGGTCCCTCCATTAAGGAGGCTGTTGTTAAATTACAGGCTGTTTTTAACATTATTCAGACTCAGCTCGCTGAGCTTAAGCTTCTATTAAATGTTGATAAAACCAAGGTAATGCTATTTCACTCAGGAGAGACGTGATGTATGGAATACATGTTTATTATCGGGTCACATTATATAAATGAACATAATGATGACAGTTTGTAGCAAGTGAATGAAATAGTGTTTTGGCGATTAGGCCCAGGTTTGGTAGGATGTCATTCGGGAAGGAAAGAACCGTTTCCGATTCTACCAAACCTGGGCCTAATCGCCAAAACACTATTTCATTCACTTGCTACAAACTGTCATCATTANGTGTTTGGAGCCAAACACTTCAGAGACATGTTTTGTATATATCTGAGACCTATAATATCTTGATGAAAAACAGTATAATAGGGGACCTTTAAGGCAGATATTCTTCTGCCCCTTGTAGAACTTTGGGATTGCTTTTACTGTAGTATTGAAAGGTGCTTTACAAATTACAAATGTATTACTGTTATTATTCTTTTGTTTGGGTGCCAATGAAGAGATTAAGTAAATGTAGCATTTATTTCATAAAAATATGTAAGTCACATGGGTCAAATGACATGGAAGATACTGGAGAAAATAATCTTCTAATGAAATATTTATGTGAAATCAATTCATAGTACAAAAGTGGTTTAATTTCTAATGTAAGCAAGTTAACACGGAGGTATTGACCATAACATTGGTTTGATGTAATTCAAATGGTAATTTATCGATGTAACCTTGTGAAACCCTGTGGTTAGATCCATCCTAACCACTTAACTTGGTAATTTAGTGACACAACACTGACGTTAATAAAACATGCTTGTTACAATACTCTCTATCTATGCAATCTACTGCAGCTTAATTACTGTTTTAGAGCAACAAAAAGAAAAAAACATTTCAAGAAATCTTCTAAAAAAAGCTTTACGGTGACCAGGTTCACCGTAAAAAATAGAGCGGTGTCCTTTTGAATAAAATTAGTCTTGGAAAGAACCCCATTTACAGATAACAAGTATTTCAATGGAGAACTGGAAGCTAGGCTTTAATAAGGCTCTATTGATGAGGATGCATCCTTTAGTTCAAAGGAGTCTCTTTAGAAAAAATCTAAGACAGAAGATGATCAAGTTTAGGTAATTTCTGTGTTATTGTTTCTTAATTGAAAGTAATTACTGTGTTGTGTATAAGGGAATCATTTGAATTTAAACAGACTTGAATAAGATATTTTTGTTTGAAGTTAATGGCGTTTGTTCTCTCAGTGTTAGACTAATAGTTGGTCAATCAGAAAATCTTTCTCTAAGTGCACTAGAGGACTTGGTCAGCAGCACAGCTCAAATCAGCTCCTCCTGTGCTAATGACCGGCTGCTCTGCGTCCACTCAGTGGTAACCATGTGCCTTTAATGTGCCTCCTCAATGTCGTCTTGCTGTGACAATTTATATCTGCTCACAATAGACAGCGCTCACTGTTTAGACTGCTGTGTGGCATGTGATTAGTCCTTCAGAGTCTGGGTTAACATCGGTCCTGTTTGAATGTGCGAAGAGCATGGGAGCAGACGACAGAGAACATTATGTTATTTTCTTTTATTGTGTCGTTGACAGTGTGCTTTTTAAGAAAGCAATACTAAGAATAGAATCTAAATGGTTCCAAAAAATGTCATGTCCAAATCTTGGCTAATGGTCTTACAAGATCCTTTCAAATTGTTGTTTTTTTGTGTGGTTCACATATATTTTAGGACATTCAAGCTTAACATTTCAGAGTTGGCTCAGTTTTATTTGTTATACTTCTGAAAATGATTTCTGGGTTCTGCTGCCAATAACTTGAAGGAAAGCAAAAACCTTTTTTTTACCAATTACCTTTGATCTTTGCTGACCATGTATGGTGGCCGACAAGTGCCAACGCGCCTCAACGGACTAAAACCATCGGGAGAAACGTGCTGCAGCTGCAGAAACCATGCAAATATAAAAACACAAATGTACCAAAACACATGCAAATAAAGCTACATACTCACCAACTTGACAACACACGCGCAGCATTTAGAAAAGATTCACCAACATACAAAGTGATGAGCACAGCCGGGACAGGAGTGCTTGTTGATGCTCGGGCATCATTTTTGAAGGAATCATGCGATCACATTTTTAAATTAACACAATAAAATCTACATTTAGGAACATTTCAAACAACAGTGATATATACTGTAGCCAACTTTATAATCCCCGAACGTCAACAAGCGCCGCGGTCCCAGCTGTGTGCATCACTTTTTAGTGTCCCCGTTTCCGTTGTGTTTTGAGTTTCGCACAGCTTTTTTAATTTGCAGCGTTATTCATTTGCACCGTTTCGATTATGCAGCGATTTTAGTTAACTCTGCGCATGTTTCGCCAAGTTGGTGAAGATGTTTCCTCATTTGCATGTGTTTCGGCACATTTCTGTTTTTATATTTGCATTCTTTTTGAAGCTGTTTTTTTAGACCCTTGTAGCCCGTTCGCAGCTGTCGGCCACCGTAACAACAAGCGGTTAGTTTCCATGGTTATATTTGGGTTAAAGCAATCCCTTTAATCACGTATATTGCTGTGGATGCATGTCAGCAGCGTATCCCTAACTTGAGACCTGCGAGTGAGTATCTGCATCTCTCTGTCTCCATGATGCAAAGTGCAGCACACAGCTTCTAATGGCTCAGACTGTGTGATGGTGGACGTTGATTATCCTTGTTGTTCACCCAAGGTCCCTGAAATGAAAAGAGCGAGAACACTGCCTCCATTACCTTGTGTAAACCTGTTTCTCAGAACTGAACAGCATCCAGCGACTATAGTGGCATATTTCTCCAATGAAAGGAGGTATACAGTTAGTTATATACAAATCTGCACACAGAGGTGCATGGCAGAGAAGAGGTTACTCATTAATGTTTTCGGATGAACTGTCATTTAAAAAAAAAAATCCTAATTGAAAGGAAATGTTACTGAAAACATGATTGCAATCTACTGCAAATACGACTCTATTCAAAATGAAAGGTTACAATAAATGTGTTTTTTAATAAAATAATTTAAATAAGTAGGCTTCTTGTTTCATCGTGTTTTTGCCACACGATGGTAGTTCTTAATAGAGCAGTCAGGTTGAATAAAAGATAGGTTGGTATACGTGATATATCTACATGCGTCACACTGACCTATTTGAGAAGGATCAGGAACTAAACTTTATTTTTGCACTTTTATTGTCATTACACAGTACAGGTACTATGTAACAAAATGGTTTCTCTGCATTTGACCCATCCTAGTGTTGGGAGCAGTGCGCTGCCATTATGAGCAGTGTAGGGAACGGTGCCTTGCCAAGCCAAGTCCCAATGGACTTTGCCACCACCGCTCAAGGCTATATGAATAAATATGTTTACACAAGAAGAAAATATATTTATTAGATTTTTATATCAAGGTTTTTTGCTCAGTTGTAGATTTTATGGCTGTATACGCAGTATGTTTCAATATATTTGAGATTTATTTTTCTGACGTTTACAGCAACGAAAGGGAACTTGTGAAGCTGGAGAGAAAACGTTTGAGACATTTGTCTTGCTGTGAGCAACAAGTTGTTTTTCTAAGGCCTATTCCCTATTGGGCACGGATAAGCTCTGGATTCACCTTATTTAGATTGTGCTGGGGAGTCTGGATCCTGGTGGCCCAGAGAATACAAAGAAATTCAAAACAGGAAACAACACAAAACAAAACTGAAGTGAACTCAGTTTTATTTAAAATGACTCACATCCATTCATGACATTAACATATACAGAACACGTCAATTATATAGTTAAATGGAGAGTTTGACATTACAGTACATGCACTTATTTGCTTGAAAAGATCTCTCTAATGTTTGTCTTTTTTCTTTAATTGGCATAAAAACAAAGATGTAAAAACGTCAATTTGTGTTTTTTCCCCTTGTAACTTCACAAAAAGATATTTCTATATTTATTTTTTTGTAAGAATTAAACAAATTAGATCCAAGATAATAGTTCTAAACCAAGCTAACAACGTAATTTTAGTTAATAAACTGCTGGCTTTAGACACTGCACCTTATACAGACTCTCCAGCTAAAGTAACAACATCTAAAAAATGAAGTTTACATCACTGCTGTCATTTTCTTTTATCTATATGACTGACCTAATCAATACATACATTACAGGGCACATGAACACATCTTATACTCGGGTCTTCTCACCAGAAGGGGTTACACTGTCTGTTACAATTACTAAAGATTGCACCTTTCTCATAAGAAGTCAGGGACACTCTGCAATAGCCAGAGCTGAAACTGTGATCATAGTAACCTTGAAAGAGAGCTTTTCAAAATGACCCATGGATTAGATCGATCTAGATGAGAGCTGCAGTCGGGACGGGAAAGCCCCTTTGACTCTGATTGTAGAGCTTGATTCAAAAGCCACATGGTCAGAGAGAAGTGGTCAGGGCCCGATGGATGGACTCGGCTATATAATCCAAGTTACGCCCGTTGATTGCGCTCACATTGAGACAGCCGCTGGGGAGCAGGTACACATGTCTCCTCTGGGACAGAAACTCTACCTGCTCCTCTGTATGAGGGAAGAAACAGGAGACATGTTGGTAAAGCACATCATTATCTTTGATTCAAGCTTTTTTTGTTTCATTGTAAAATATATGAGATAATAAAGCAGCGTCCACACGGCGGCGTGCGTTGAAGCTTGCCGGCGGGCGTGTCTGAAACTCGACCAACAACCAATCACATGAATCTCCCGCCCCGGACACACAAGCACGCGGTTTGATTGGCTAGAGCTTGTACTGGCATATGATTTGATTGGGTGACGCTTCCGTCGAAGCTTCAAAAGTTGAACATTGCTCTACTTTTGAAGCGAGCAAAGCGAAGCGAGGGAACCACAATGCAGTTCGGCAAAGCGTGACGCCACCCCATTCAAAGTGAATGGGCAGAAGCGTTGAAGCTTCAACGCACGCCACCGTGTGGACGGGCCGTAAGGAAATAGTTAGGATCTAACCAGAAGTGCAAAAGATGCAGTAAAATGAAGAGTAATGTATAGTAAAAAAAAATGTTGGGTTCAAAATCTCACTTTATTTATTTATTTGCATTTTAAGAAAATATTCACAAAGCATACATAACAAAATAAACACAACTAGGTACATATATTAACTACATAACAGATAACAAGTACGAAAATAAATGATAAGATAATAGTAATAATAATATTACAAAAAAAAGAATGGATACACTGTTAATACTCAGGTATATATGAATTATATTGTTCTACATTTGACCCACATTTCCTCAAAGATATGCATTTGGTTTCTAATTCTCATAGCTGTTTTCTCCATTACATTCATTTCGACTGATTTCCTTGCTTTTTCATTTAGTTTTTTCCTAAATGAGGCAATCTACTGTATAGGTATAAACATATGACAGATCTAAAAAAGCTCCGATATTAATGGGTATTAAAACTATAAATTGAATTCACTAGAGAGCTGCTATACATGTAGACAGTATAATATAGAGATTATAGACTAAATAAATATGAATATGCTATGCGGTATATATACACAAAATATATTTTGGGCAGTCTTGTTTTTTTGAAGGCAGCTTTTGGCACCTGGTAAATAGGTTAGTGTTTTACACACAGGGCAAGAAAAGCTGTTGTTCATTCCATTTTGGGATTTTCAGAAAGAGAATAAAGCACAAACCATATTCCTGCCTCGACATCTGGTGTAATCCCTGTGTTCGATTTCTGAAAACTGCAGAATGTATGACATGTGTCCACCAACAGTGCAGTCTGCTACTCACCATTCAATCCGGTGTTACAGTAGAGTCCGCTCTGTTGAGTCAGACGGTCCCAACAGCCTGGAGCTCCCAGAAGCCTCAGCCTTTCTCTCAACAGCTCTCTGATCAGCATACATCGCTCCACAATGTGCTTCACTTCTTCCTTCCTGGGAAACAGAAAACATTGACAGCATTTGGAAAATAATATCTGAAGTGTATAGTTGAAATATCTGCATAACATGATAGATCCAGTAAGCTACACTTTGTACATTAAAGTTCATAAAACACTGCAAGTTCGATTGTATGAAGCTTTGCAGGCTTGTGGGCAGTGTTGGCATGTAACTATGTGAATTAACTAAAGCACAATGATGAGGTATTTGTACTTTACATGAGTATTATCGTTTTACACAAAGGGAAATATTGTACTTTTTACTTTACTATATACATTTATTTTACATTTTCGTTACCAGTTACTTTACAAATCAAGATGTTTGCATAAAAAACACAGGCGTTCATAAAATATAAGATTTAGTTGTATAATTTACCAAGCCAACAGTTAATACAAGAACAGCTTAGTTGATTAATCTAGCCAATTAAGAGATAATTAATGGGCATTTATAGACATTTAGTTCATTTCCAATTGTATTTTGAATTATTTTGTTGTTATTCTGTTTGCTATTTTAATTCATGTAAGTGTAGGTTTTTCTTTAAATTGGGTACATTTAATATTTGAACTTCCTCTTGCTGATTTGACCCACTTTAACTTAAGTACCATTTCCAATGCACTAATTTGACTTGTGACAGAGTGTTTTTATAGTGTGGCATTATTACTTGCACCACTGTCTGTAGGAGTGACGGAGAAAGTCCAGCCATCTCTGTAGACATCTACTGATACAGCAGCAATGTGGCTGCGCAGGTAACATTCTTTAAATACTTTATTTTAAATGGAGCGTGACTCACCATTCAACAACATGTGCTGGGTTACTGAGCACTGTGGCCACAATAGTTGCTCCTCCTGCGGACGGCTGTGCCCACAGTGACTTGACTATTGTGGCAGCTTGAGACTGCACAGATAACAGGAGGGAGTTCTGCTTCAACACGCACAGCAGGTGACCGACAGCCTCGCCTGGAGAAGAGAAGGAGAAGATGACTCTGATGCGAGGGAAACACTTTGTTCTAACAATAATGGTGTTATGTTATACTCATTTTCTCTTTTACTGGAATTGGAAATAAAGTGGAAGAGGGACACTTTTGAAATAGAAAATAACAAAATGCTTTAAAGTCTGCGCGAATGAAATAGGACAAACGGAAACAAGCAGAAAGCGTCACTTTGACTCCATAGGTAATATAAGCATTTTCTGGCATCTAATGGGTAAGACAAATTAAAAGGTGTCCTTTTATGCTTATTGGGTTGTCCCTTTCCTGTAGTGTGTTATAAAGGTTTTTGTGCATGTACATGGTCTTCAAAGTCTGAAATCCCAGAGTTCCCTCCAGAGGGAGTTTCTCTCCCACGCTATACAGTGATACTCTTAAATCACTTACTCACCATATAGTCCGAAGCAGTGGGAGAAGGACTGAGCACAGAGCAGCTCCATCCCCTGCGAGGCGCAGTACTGAACAGGCCAGGCCTCCCGCTCCACATTTCCATAGCAGAGCGCCTGAGGAGGCAGCAAGAGGAACGGAAAAAGCCTGCGCCTCTATTTAAAGATTGACAAGACAGCAAATAATGATTTAAGTAGGAGAGAAGAGCCACTTGTCGGATCATTTTTGCTCTTTGTTAAAGAAAAGAGAGGCAGGGAAGATAGTGGCCGACCCCTGCCACCCTGGACACAAGCTGTTCACCCCCCTCCCCTCTGGGAGGAGGCTGCACTCCATCAGGACCAAAACCTCTTGCCACCTGAACAGTTTCTTCCCCTCCCCTACCGGCCTCTTAAACAAGGCCCGCCCCCCCCACTGACACAACGTAGACTCTATGTGCATTACATTAATGCACACAATGTTCAAATACTGCTTACTGCATATATTCTTATTTCATATTTTATATTCTATAACTCATTGCATTCCATTTCGCTGTAAATTACTGCTGTATTTTATTGCTATTTAACTATATTTGATTACAATGTCCTTAAAGATTTTTTGTTTTATATGGAGATTCTTTGTTTTATATTTTATGTATGCACCATGACATCAAGTCAAATTCCTCGTATGTGTGAACCTACCTGGTAATAAACCCGTTTCTGATTCTGATTCTGAAGTGGACAAGTCAGTTACCATGATGAGTTCTGTAATCACAGCCCATTGATTGTGAGAGAGGTCTGCTCCGGTGGGATAGTGTGCAGACGCTGACAGAACAACAACGCTTCGCTCCGGAGCCTTCTCCAGATCCTCCAGCAGCTTATCCAAGCAAACGCCCCGCTGCTGGTCATCCCAGTAATAATACTCACGGATATCTTGGATCCCCGCTGCCTGGAAGATACCAGCCAAAGAGTCTGCAGGAGGATCAGGATGAAGTGTTATATTAGACACCTAAAGCAGTACGAACTCCTCAAGATCAATGCTGCTTTGAACTGTGGCTAATCTGTAGCTAGCCCTGATGTTGTGAATCATTTGGTATCAGTTCATATGAAGACCTAAGCTACACTGCATGATAAGATCATAGTGAATTTATGTGATTTAAAAGTGTCTTTTTGATGCTATAAACTAGTTCTAACCTATATATTAACTGAAGGGGCTTATTGTACATTATGAATACCTTTAAGTCCATGTTGTATCATGAGATATCATTGTATGTGTAAAGTAAAGAAAAGTACGTACTGATGCATGCTCCATCATAACATTTCCTCATTGGTGTTAAGTACAATGTATTTTCAGATGTGTAAAAGAATATATGCTGCATGATAAGTGATTATTAATAGATACTAGGTATCATATGCCCCCTCAGCCTACCTCTACTTTAGCACCGGTCCATAAAATGAATGTGAGTTTATGAGTGAATGTGGAGGATTATAAATACATTTTAATTTACTTTGAATGCCCTAATGTGATACAATTTATTTATTTTGAAAGTCATTTGATTATGCATTCTTTTAAGCTCCAGTCTGAGCTGCATTGGTAATGTCATGATTTTTTAAACCTACTTTACCTACCATATGTCACAGTAATGCACGTTGTTATGGATACAGCCAACGAAATACAATGCAATCACTATACCAGGATTATTAGCTACATTGTGTTACTTCTGTCTCAAGAGCTTAATCTAATGTGCAGCAGAATTTAAAGCCAACACAACATTTGGTTGTATCTTAAAATGCTGTTAAGAAGAAGTTAAAATTACCGTCACAGGGGGAAGAGAGGTATACTGGCCCACACCAAGCGGCACAGTGATCATACCAATTTCTCAAGAGTTCAGCCCCAAGTCGCACAGCAGCGGTGAAACCAGGAGTCTGAACACCTAACACCTGCAACACAATCATAAAACACCCAGAGTTAAGTTAATATCATCACTGATGGAAAACACGATAGAGTTTTTTGTTTTATCCCTTTATAGTAGAGCACACATTTTTGATATACTGTAATATGTTGGTTTCTTCTTTTTTATGTTTATATCCTTCTGTTGTGTGACATGATATACTTGTGGGAGAAACTTCTGAAGTAATTGGAGACAGGACTCAGAGAGACACGAGGAGAGCTGGAGCTTTGATGGCAAACACTGACGGTTTATTTGGAGCTTCGGCCGGAGAATTCACACGACATGTCACGGGCCACGAGTTGACCACACGGTAGAGATGCCACAATCAATTCTGAAGACCCCTCCTGTAGC